CATTGTCAGAAGCATCACTAGAAGAGAAGGACAGACATAGTGATGACATTAGTGGTGCCACTTCCCTGACTTAAGGTCTAAGAAGGACATCAACAGGCAGGATGCTGGTGACCTACACGGATTCTTGATTTGCAATTACAATCAGAGGTCAAAGCCATCATAGCTCCTGGATGATGTCCATAACACCCCCACTCTCCTGTGTGACTGTCTTCACCAGTCTAGCTGTTTCTGCCTTTATTTTTATTTATTTGTACATACAAGTATTGGGGTGTAGCCCAGAGGTGCTGAGGGTGAAAGGACTCACCAGAGACAGAGTGGGGAGCAGGACAGGCCAGTCTAGTGAAATACACTTCTGAGGGGAGCCGCGGGGAGACAGGAGAGGTCTGCTGTGCCCTGTGGGTCAGTCCCTGGCCAGGGATCGAACTCGTGCTGCAGTAGCTGCAGGTAGCTCGACAGTGCTGACATTTAACCCATTGTACCACCAAATGGCCTCTGCTTTTACTTTTTGAGAGATTCCTGTTTGCCATCAGCACGTGGCTGTGTAATGAATGACACTGTGTAGTAAACATCAGGTCTCACTGTGTGCTACTGAGCAAACTGAAAAAGAGCTGACATTTTTTGTTTTAATATAAAAAAAAAAAGTCTTGCTCTTGGAACTTTGGCCAAACCCACAAAGTAAACTATGACTATTAATGAAGGCAGAACCTCTATGCATATTAAATGTATGCTCATAAGCAGCTTAAAATACTTAAGTGTTTTGGGCTAAACTGCTTAGTTTTATGATTCATGCTGCCAACGGCTTTATCTTGTCTTCAGGCACTGTGCATGAGGAGAATCGGCCCACCATTCCAGGGACCTGCAGTCATGTCTACATTGCTCTGCCCTGGTCTGCTTTGCCCAGCCACCTCCCACGAACCCGCGTTCCTGTCTCTCCGGGGCAGTCTGTAGCCGCAGCTGAAGAGGCAGCGCTCACCGGCATGTGGGTGTGTCTGTGCACTTCCTCTGTGCCTTGTGTCTTGGTCTCTCCATTTACTGACTTCCTGCAGTTAAAAATGAGCAATCAGGCCCTCCCTGGTGGGCGCAGAGGGTTAAAGCACAGCACTGAGAATCTAAAGCCGCTTCTGCATGAGTTCGATTCCCCCCTGCCCCTGAGGTGACCACATGGCGTGGCAGACCTCTCCTGGCCCGCCCGCTGCTCCCCTCAGCAGTGTACTTCGTTGATCTGCCTGTTCTGCTCCCGGCTCTGTCTCTGGTGAAGCCTCTCACGGCCCTTGAGCCTCCGGCCTGTACCCTATTTCTGTATGCACAAATAAATAAATCTTTAAAAAAAAAATGAGCAATTTCTGGTGCATCTTGAAGACTGCCCTACAAACGTAGCTGGCATTTCTTTTTGAATTCCTTAATTTTGTATTCCTGGTATCACTACCACATTTTACAGGACAATGTACCCGATGGAGTGAAAAGGAAAAGCAAAAGCTACCACAGACGGAAGCCCTCAGGAGTGCTCATTGATTGGCAGGACACCGCATTCATCAATAGCTCCACTTCTTGCAAACTGGTGGTGAGGTCCTGAGCAAGAAGAATTTCCTGGGAAGCTGCAGCCACTTTTCTGACTGTGGCTATTTTTATGGCCTTGTGTCTCTGGCTCAGGACAGGAAAGTGATGAGCACACCATGTGGTGACCTGTGAACGCCAGCAGCAGCTGGGTGCTGTGCTTGTCAAAGAGGCAGTAAAGACAAACGCAGACCCGCAGAGTAACCACACAGTGGCCACAGAGCTGCCCGCCTGTCAAGCATCCATGTGTAGCTGCTTATATAAATTGCTACGATTTTTATTGTATTTTTACAAAACACACAAATTTCTGACTTCTTGCTTTGGCATTTGTAATCAGTTGAGAATGTTCCCCCTAAAGCCCACCATTCCCATCTGTATCATCCCCCAGTCTGATTGCATTTAATCCAGGGAGCCCCTTTCCTTCTCTGGCAGCCCTCCGATGTCCCTAAGCCAAAGTCTGCACCCCCACCTTGATTCCTCTATCCTCCAATATAAGCAAGCTGGGACCCCACCATCAGCTCCCAGACCCACAGCATCAAGGCGGGTGGTGCGGGAGGGCTGTGGATGCGAACAGTGTGTGCAGACGTGGGTCAAGAAATAGAGAACTTTGGGCGATGAGGCAAGGCTGGGTAGAAATGGGCTGCTGAGGAAGTAAAGGAAAGAGAAAGTTCCGGGCTCCCAACTGTGTTCCGGTCCTTCGTCAGTGCGTCTGGAGAGCATCTCAGCCCCTGTACGGTCAGGGAGGACGTGTCAACACCTCCAGTTTTGAAAACCTCAAAAATACCTGCCTGTGATTGGGCATTTTTCATATTAATCACATGATCAAACTATTTATAATGCGCTCCAAAGACCAGCGAGAATCCTTTCGTCTTTCAGCTGTGCAGACATGTGGCTTTAAATGTTGCTTCTAGCAACAATCTTAGAAGCTCCTTGTTCTTGGAAGAGCTGAGGTCTGTTCTTTTATCTTAATGTCATGTATAAAATAGTCATGGATCAAATGGATTATTATATACTGAACTGCTTCCCCACTGATCCTGCTTTTTGTTAATTTTAGGATAAGGGGGATCCTATTTAATTGTTAAATAGGGTTTTAAAATGATGTACCAGTAGTTTTTAGATCACAAATAGTTTGTCTCAGTCTTAACATTAGGGAACAGTTATTCTTTGAATGAACTTTTCTCATTTCTTATTCTTGTCTTATAATTTCTAGGTTAAATTATTCTTCTCTTTAAAGCCAGGATTATACTATTTATAATCTAGTAAACAGGTATTTATAAATTACCCAACGAGTAGTTCTCAAATTTTTTAGTCTCAAGATCTCTTTCTACACTTAAAAATTATGGAACCCCTGAGAGTGCTTATGTAATTTTACGTGCATGCTATCTGCCAATATTGACTCATAATAGAAATTAAGACCAAGAAAATTGTGAACTGTTTATTTATAAGTCCTTTAAAATAGTCAAAAGAATGTTAGCCACATAGCATATTCTCTCAATAAGAAATAGCTGTGCCAAACAAAGAGTTTAGGAGAATGACATTGTTTTGTATTTTTGCAAATGTCTTCAGTGTCTGGTTTGATAGAAGACAGCTGAATAATCATATCTGTTTCTTCACTCAATCTGCTCAATATCACACATCATGTAGCCTCTAGAAGCTCTGTTGCAAAGAGGCCAGCCAATACCTTAGTATCATGAAAACAATTTTGACTTTAGGCAGCACCTGGGACCATGATAGGCTTCTACACCAGACTTTGGTAATCACTGCATTAAGTCATAAGCATGAGATCTATGGAAACTTCAGAGGTGAGTGCTGATGGCACAATTGCTCCACTCCAAAATGTTGGATTCCTACAGCTGTATTCGCAGATTGCTTTTCATGACTATACTCTGGTATAAATTCAGTAATAACCATACTGTCAGCAGAGTTTAATTTTTAGAAATAAGTAATATAGTAGCTACAGAAAATAATTATGTGGTGCAGAAATTGTGTGTTCTGTGCTAACACTATACTAAAAGTTAGATTCCAAATGGATTGAAGATTTCTATACAAGACCTGCAACAATAAAATACATAGAAGAAAACATTCATGATATGATCCATGATATTAATAATAAACATACTTGTGGCTACAGTCCCTAAGACAAGACAAAAATGAAAATCAACAATTTAGGATTATCTCAAAAGCTTCTATACAATAAAAGAGAAACAAGGTGATTAAAAGGACAACATATTGAATGGGATATATAGCCATTCAATATATTACTGTTATGCAATTACTATCCAAGGTATATATATGCATCTACACATATATGTATATATTACATCACATTACATCACATAGGTGTAGACACACACATATACAAACTCACACAAGTCAACAATTAAAAAAAAAGTGGTTGAAAAATAGGCAGCAAAAATGACTAGACTGTTTATCAAAGAGAATGTCCAGAAGGCCACTTGTTAGCTGGGAAAATGCTCATTGTAAGAGATATGCAGGCTAGAACCTCAATGGGATACCCTCTCATACCATTGCATGTATTGAAAAGATTTCCAGCAAGTGCTAGAAAAGATGTGGAGAAAAAGGGACCCATAACGTTGTTGGTGAAAATGTAAACTTTTACAATTCTTATGGAAAGTAATCTGGGTTTACCTAAAAAAAAAAATCTTTAAAAGTAGAAATATCATCAATCAGCAATCCCACTCTTTAGCATATATTCAAATAATCTGAAACCATCAGCACAAAGTCCTGTAAGTTCCACAATGTTCTTAGCAGCATTATTTACAACAGAGGGTCATAGAAGTCGCCTGAATGCCTATTGGCAGACAACTGGATCCTTGTGGGATAGCCACACGATGGAGTCGACCATGTAGCCATAAGAAAGGATGAAATGCTACCCAAACAGCCGATTTCAGCAAAATGGAGGAGGTTTGAGAGACCTGTGTGCAGTAAAGCCAGTCAGAATGATAATAACAAATACTGGATATTTATATCGCAGGCACTTCATTAATGTAAACCACTTTTAAAAGCCAGTGGACATCAGTGAACACCCAGAGGGTTCGGAGGTTAGGAGGGTGGTGGCGGGGAGGAAAAGGCTCAAAGGAATACAGGGGAAAGGGGGGTCCAAATTCCAATTCCATGGCCCCAAAATAATAACAATAAAATAAAATTCCATTTATGCTGCATATATATTTATGTATATGAAAGGGGGAAAAGTGGGAAAAAACAAAAAACAATTAACAGTGCCAGGGAAGTTTCTAGTCATCTACTTTAACTATCAGCTACACCACAGTAATAAGCACACCACACTGATTTGCCTCTAACTCTGACTAACACCAAAACACTGCCCCCAATAAACCTCATCTAACAGAGTGGAGTATAGAGAATAGAATAAAAAGGGGCCTCCCTGGTGGTGCAAGGGGTTAAAGTATGGCAGCTCTCCACAGCCACTGCAGCACGAGTTCCATCTCTGGTCAGGGAGTGACCCACATGGCACAGCAGACCTCTCCTGTCTCGCCTGCTGCTCCCCTCAGCAGTGTGTTTCAGTCGATCTGCCTGTTCTGCTCCCCACTCTGTCTAGTGAATCCTCTCACCTCCTGCACCTCTGGCCTGTCCCCCAGTTCTTGTATGCATAAATAAATATTGAACAATAGAATAGAATAGAAAAAAATAGAATAGAATAGAATAAAAATTCTTTGAGATGGTTAAAAGTGGTAAAGTTAGGGTTAGACATATTTTCATCAATCGAGAGAGCTCATTGTAGTTTAGAGGGCAAGGTTTGTATCTGGATTTGAATTCCAACTCCATCATTTACGTGTGAACTTGGGCAAAGCATTTATTTGTTTTAAAATCCCTCTAAAACTGGGATAATAAATATTGTCTCATCATTAAATCATATGATGTTAAAAGGATTCACTTATTCATTTTGAAGAAGCTCTCACTTCCAAAGATGGGAAAATTTGACTGTCAATGAGGATAGAAACTGAAATGTGTTGAAATCTATCAAATATATTTAAAACCATGATTTTGCAAATGAATATAATAAAACAAACAAAAAAAACCCCAATAAATGAGTTACCATCTAAGGATGACAAAAAAATCTATTATTTTGAAAATTACCTGTGGGGGAAATATTAAGTATTTATCCTGTCTTTCCATATGAGTTACAACACCATATAACAAAATAGATGAGGAGAGGAAGAGTCCCCTTAGAAAATTATCTCATTTAATAAATGAGAGAAAAATGGTAGAGCACAGCATTTCTATTTTGTAAATTTCAGTTAATAGACTTAGGGGCTGCCCATCAATAATTGCTGACATAAAAAAGAGTGAACGGCAGAAATTTCTCCTGATGAGAAAAACACAAGAACACTTACAGACAATCCAAAAGGGTCTTGCTTGAATCTGAGTCTAATCAAGTGTCTGGGT